GCTAAGCAATGAGGAACACTGAAAAATTATGCTGCTTCGGCTTGAAGAAAAAGGTCTGCAAGTTCTGTTTCATATAATAAAACTTAGAGGAAAATGCAACTTAAGAAGATATTGGAGGGCTCTGAGTCATTTTGTTCTGCTGCTGTGTGCACAGAAAATAGTAGAACCAGCTGAAAGACAACACATGGAGATCTGCATTGATCGTTACCATGCCTCTTCAATTATTATCACTGTATAATTATAAAATGGTTGTATAATCTTAGAAGGGGGCCTGGCTGTGTGGGGATGGGGTTGCAACTACCATGAAGAGACCATAAACTTCTGAATTTGACCAGACACCACCGCATGTCCAGAACCCTCAGAGACCAGGGTTCGCCACTCGGTCATGAAGTTTGCAGGGTGAGCTTCGGGGCCAGTCTCTGCCTCTCACCTGGCGTACCCGGTTGCTGTGAGGATTAAAAGAGGAGGGGGCAGAACCACGTATATGCCGCCATGAGCCCCTTGGAGGAAACGGTGGGATAGAGATGCTATCCCGAAATCAATCAACGTGAAACACACCTTGGCAGCCAGATAATAATAATAATAATAATAATAATAATAATAATAATAATAATAATAATAATTTTTTATTTATACCTCGCCCATCTGGCTGGGTTTCCCCAGCCACTCTGGGCGGCTTCCAACAAAATATTAAAATACAGTAATGCATCAAACATTAAAAGCTTCCCTAAACAGGGCTGCCTTCAGATGTCTTCTAAAAGTCAGATAGTTTTATTTCCTTGACATCTGCTAGGAGGGCGTTCCACAGGGCAGGGGCCACCACTGAGAAGGCCCTCTGCCTGGTTCCCTGTAACTTGGCTTCTTGCAGTGAGGGAACCGCCAGAAGGCCCTCGGCGCTTGACCTCAGTGTCCGGGTAGAACGATGGGGGTGGAGATGCTCTTTCAGGTATACTGGACCGAGGCCTTTTAGGGCTTCAAAGGTCAGCACCAACACTTTGAATTGTGCTCGGAAACGTACTGGGAGCCAATGTAGGTCTTTCAGGACCAGTGTTATGTGGTCTCGGCAGCCGCCCCCAGTCACCAGTCTAGCTGCCGCGTTCTGGATTAGTTGCAGTTTCCCTGTCACCCTCAAAGGTAGCCCCACGTAGAGCGCATGGCAGTAGTCCAAGCAGGAGATAACTAGAGCATGCAGCACTCTGGCAAGACAGTCTGAGGGCAGGGAGGGTCTCATCCTGCGTAGCCAGATGGAGCTGGCAGACAGCTGCCCTGGACACAGAATTGGCCTGCGCCTCCATGGACAGCTGTGAGTCCAGAATGACTCCCAGGCTGCGCACCTGGTCCTTCAGGGGCAGAGTTGCCCCATTCAGGACCAGGGAATCCCCCACACCCGCCTGCCCCCTGTTCCCCCAAAACAGTCCTTCTGTCTTGTCAGGATTCAACCTCAATCTGTTAAGACTGTTATCTGTTAAGATAACACTTAAATGTGATCATTTTTGGCATCACATGATGGGCGTTTGGACGCTGCTTCTGTGCTTTGGGTGGGGGATATGGCCAGGTGTGAACACGTAACACTCAGGCTTTTAGCTGCAGGTGTGATCCACTCCCCTCTGGAGAAAACTCTGCGCCAGGGGATGCTGGCAGCGGAGGCAGAAGGCCCAGGCGGAGAAAAGGATGGTCCTTGTTATGCAACTTATATCGCTGCTGTTGGAAAACAGAGTGGGTGTCAGGGAGAGACACAGGCAGCTGGCACATTTGGAAGACGGAGCCCGACACAGGGTGGCAGCGAAACTGAAAGGCTCCTCTCTCTCTCTGATCCAAAGGAGAGACAATCCTCCCTGCTTTCTGGACGTTTTAAAAACACAACCACCCCAAAAGGCAGGCATTCTCTGCAGATCCATCCCGCGAAGTCGTCTCAGGGTGATGCTGCTGACGGGCTCTTGCTGTTTTTTGAGAGAGATTTAGCAGCACACTGGGAAATCCAGGCTGCGCAGCTAAGAGTTGATGGGGAGATTCTTGCACAACAAACCCCTTCCCCCCACCACCACCCAAAAAAAAGATCGGACCTTTTGCAATAAGAAAAAGAATTCGAAAATGCAGCCATGCCCACAAGGAGACATAGAGGCAGTGGGGGGGGGGGTTGTGATAATCTAAACCAGCCTTTCTCAACCTGTGGGTCCCCAGATGTTCATAGAATCCTAGAGTTGGAATAGACCACAAGGGCCATCGAGTCCAACCCCCTGCCAGGCAGGAAACACCATCAGAGCACTCCTGACATATGGTTGTCAAGCCTCTGCTTAAAGACCTCCAAAGAAGGAGACTCCACCACACTCCTTGGCAGCAAATTCCACTGTCAAACAGCTCTTACTGTCAGGAAGTTCTTCCTAATGTTTAGGTGGAATCTTCTTTCTTGTAGTTTGGATCCATTGCTCCATGTCCGCTTCTCTGGAGCAGCAGAAAACAACCTTTCTCCCTCCTCTATGTGACATCCTTTTATATATTTGAACATGGCTATCATATCACCCCTTAACCTCCTCTCCAGGCTAAACATGCCCAGCTCCCTTAGCCGTTCCTCATAAGGCATCGTTTCCAGGCCTTTGACCATTTTGGTTGCCCTCCTCTGGACACGTTCCAGTTTGTCAGTGTCCTTCTTGAACTGTGGTGCCCAGAACTGGACACAGTACTCCAGGTGAGGTCTGACCAGAGCAGAATACAGTGGCACTATTACTTCCCTTGATCTAGATGCTATACTCCTCTTGATGCAGACCAGAATTGCATTGGCTTTTTTAGCTGCCGTGTCACACTGTTGGCTCATGTCAAGTTTGTGGTCAACCAAGACTCCTAGATCCTTTTCACATGTTGTTGGACTACAACTCCCATCATCCCTGAGCTCTGGCCTTGCTAGCTAGGAGTGATGGGAGTTGTAGTCCAACAACATCTGGGGACCCACAGGTTGAGAAAGGCTGAATTCTAAACCCTTGCTGGGTTTGATACAGTATTTTGCAGCAGTTTTACCTGGGGATTGTGTGTGTGTGTTCACCTTGCTTCAAGGGTCAATGTCCCCACACCAATTTTGCTGTGATTTCTGCATCACACGGGGTTGGACTAGATTGTGCTTTTGTGAGTCCCTTTCCAAATCTACAATTCTGTGATTCTCTCCGTTCCTTGGGCTCTGCCATTTTGTCACACGCCTTGCGAATATCCCTGGGGAGGGTGGACGGAACCTGCCACAACTCCAGCCCCCACCTCCTCCGTCGGGAGATATGGTTCTTCATCCTCATCCCCCGAAGAAGCCGTATAATTATCGTGCTTCAAAAGTGCAGCTGTTTGCTCTTTGGGAGCTGAGAAACAGCCGCCCACCCACCCCCTCTCCCTCCCCCCGAAGGACTTTCCCGGGCTCCCACCTTCTGCTGCTCGGCTCTGCCTGCAAAATTAATGCACATTAAAAATAGATGCTTTGTGTGTGTTTTTTTAACAAAGCGATGGGGGAAGAGGTGTAGCTGCGGCAGGAACATTCATTGCAAGCTGGCAGCGACAACAAAGATTCTCTTTGCTTTTGGGGGCTTAAGGGTTGCCAATGTTTGCCAAGAGGGCTGCCCCTTTGTTTTTGTTTTTTTGACTGCATCTTTTTTGGAGCGTGTGTGTTTCACGTGCTGTTTGGGCAATTTTGAGCATCACCACTTTTGCTTCTGAGCATTAAACGGGTGTTACGTGGTACCCACACGAATCTTTTTTAGATTTCCAAATGTCTCTCTGGATGGGCAACTGTTAGGGATTATTCGCATACCCGCATCACAGCGGCCGGGTTACCCCTAGGGTGCCTTCCACATTTACCGTTCTCCGCTCCTATGACCTTTAAGGCTACATTTGGCACAGCGGCTTATTGCATTTCCCTACTGATTTCTGCATTTTATTTGAGCTTTCACGCAACGGGAAAGCCACTTCTGAGAATCCGCTGGAAGCTGAGCCCTAATGTACGTCTTAATTGCTTCCAGAAATAATCCAGCATTCATGGTTGTGCCACGTCACACCCACTGGTGTGAATGAACTTTAGCATGGCATGCTGGTCTATCAAGTGAAAATGGCAGAGTTCCCACATCAGAGCAGGTTGTCATTTAGTCGTGTCCGCCTTTTTCGTGACCCCCTGGACCAGAACACGCCAGGCACTCCTGTCTTCCACTGCCTCCCGCAGTTTGGTCAAACTTATGTTGATAGCTTCGCAAACACTGTCCCACCATCTCGTCCTCCGTCGTCCCCTTCTCCTTGTGCCCTCCATCTTTCCCAACATCAGGGTCTTTTCCAGGGAGTCTTCTCTTCTCATGAGGTGGCCAAAGTCTTGGAGCCTCAGCTTCAGGATCTGTCCTTCCAGTGAGCACTCAGGGCTGATTTCCTTCAGAATGGAGAGGTTGGATCTTCTTGCAGTCCATGGGACTCTCAAGAGTCTCCTCCAGCACCAGAATTCAAAAGCATCCATTCTTCGGCAATCAGCCTTCTTTATGGTCCAGCTCTCACTTCCATACATCACTACTGGGAAAACCATGAGATTTCACTATACGGACCTTTGTTAGCAAGGTGATGTCTCTGCTTTTTAGGATGCTGTCCAGGTTCGTCATTGCTTTTCTACCAAGAAGCAGGCATCTTTTAATTTCGTGGCTGCTGTCACCATCTGCAGTGATCATGGAGCCAGACCAGGAGCTGGGTTCAAATCCCTCCCTTGACAACAAAGCTCACTACAGTAACCTTGGGGGCGCTATTGCTTCTTAGCCTAACCTACCTCACAGGGTCGTTGTGAGGATTAAACGAGGAGGTGGGGAGAGCCATGTCCGCTGCCTTGAGCTATACTTGAAATGCCAGGTAGGATGTAAATGCGATAAATAAACTTAACACAATGTTCCCCCAGGTCTGAATTGAACAAACAGAATGTGTTCAGCGAGAAGAGGAGGCATTAAGCCATCGGGTTTGCCAACAACAGAGACAAAACACGGATGCCCGGAAGCGGATTGTTCTCATTGCACAACTTTTATTCTTGCGTTTAGAAAACAGAGGGAGTGTTGGGAGAGGAAGAGGCACAGGCAACTGGCAAATTTTTGAGGCAAGGGTTTCTCTCTGCAACCCGACAGAAAGGCAACCCTCCCCCTCCCTGTCTTGGATATCTTTGTTAAAAAATAAAAATCAAAGGCACACATTCTCTTCATCTGGCTGGAACAGCTCTTTCGCCAGGTCCCAGTGGAACAGACAGCGGGTGATCCTTTTCCTACAGCTGCTCGAATTTTCAAAATTAGACAAATTTACAAAAAATAATGATAATCCAATGCAGGACAAAACTCTCCTCGTGATCACCCATTCTAAGCGGGGTACATCAAAACAGGATGTTGGAGTGGGCAGGCGTTAAAAAATATTTTTATTTGGACATCCCTCCAGGGCTGGTATCTGAAAAATCCGGACTTGAGAACTGTTTGATTTCAAAGAACCACGTTCCGAAATTCAGCACTAGAGGCAGATACTGGGGGGGGGGAAATTCTCTCCAGGTTAAAAATGGGAAGGCACCAAACAAAACTCTTTCACCAGTTTTCTGGACTCCCAAGTTGGGAAAACTCTACTGTAATACCAAGTAGGGCCACTAGAGGGTGATAGAGCAACATGTTCAAGGAAATCTGTTCTAGGAATACTTATCATTCAAGGCACAATATACTGTATATATATAGAGAGAGAGAACCAGTTGTCTTTCTACTCTTTTATTCCTTCAAAATGCATGCATAGAAATTGCATATGTATTGCGAGTATAGAGCTTAGGGGGGGAGAGTCTGCATGGCAGCCTAGCCTCCATGCAATTTGCAAAAATAAAATAAAAAGATACATTGTTTTTAAACTGCCAGGAAGACTGTGGTTGCACAAAGCAAACATTTCACAGTTGCCCTTGGGCAGAATCATACCAGCTGCTTCTTGATTTTTTAAAAATATTTTTTAATAAACTACAAGCCTCTATAACTGGCGTTCCTTAAATAGTTTTGGGTGGACTTTGGCTGCTACTGACCTATTGCTTTTGAAATTGCATCCATGCAAAGTGCTACAGGGGATCACTCCCCGGTTTATAAATGGGGGGGCCCGATTTCCTTCATTTGTGGGGTGCGTGCTGTTGCCTTCACGTCAGTCTAGTCCGACTCCCATCACAACACTCCTGACCTAACTTGCCCATAACAAATGGAGTTAAAATGGCAGACAACAGGAAGCGATGGATTTTTTATTCCTGCATGGTTCTCAAGGATTAGTGGGGGCAAACTCCAGCCACAGTGCAGAATTCGCACACAGAACACGCGCAACCGCTGTTGCAATCTTGCCACCAGCCCAGACACAGGTCCCCCAAGGAGAGCTGTGGCTTTGCTAGGGGTAAGAATTTCATATTCAGGCCCTCTCAGCTGTCCAGTTCCTGAAATGAAGGCAATTGTTCCATCGCGAAACTATAGTGAATTATAGAATCTGCACGGGCCAGCCTGGGGAAAGGAAAAGCAAATATCACTGCAAACTGGAGGCTTCTTTCAAAAAGACACCCATCCGCTGTTAGTAAACAAAACAGTTAACGTAAATCTGTATTAGCAGTTGCTTTTCTAATGGAGGTTAAAAATGCAAAATAAAACAAACATAGTAAAAGGGGCCCCCTGTTGTTGTTTTGCTTTAGCAAAGGGAGTGGAAGAGAAACTGGAAAAAGAAAAGAAAGGGATTTATTAGAGACTGTCCCGCGTCGCAGGGAGGACTGCTGGGCAGATGTGGCATGGAAGTTCTAAAAACAGTCCGGAATAGGCTCGGTGATGTCGGAGGGTGGGGAGCGCGATCCCACAGGCGGGCCGGCCTTACGAATACATGGTGAGCTGCAGCCACTGGGGAAAAGAAGAAGAACGTCACTCTCCACATCCTCTCCAGGTTTCTAGTCCTCATCATCAAAGCATCTCAGCAGCCCAACTCCTTCCCCATCTGCATCTCTCGCCCTGATCTGGCCACTGTGATCCACGCGACAGTCAGCTCCAGACTGGATTATTGTAACTCGCTCTACGTGGGGCTGCCCTTGAGACTGACCCAGAAACTCCAGCGGGTGCAGAATGCCACGGCGAAACTCCTTACGGGGTCCTCGCTGCGGGATCACATTCACCCGGTGCTATACCAGCTGCACTGGCTCCTGGTGGAGTACAGGATCAGGTTTAAGGTGCTGGTTTTAACCTTTAAAGACCTATGTGGCCTAGGACCCTCGTACCTACGGGACTGTCTCTCCTGGTATGTCCCACGGAGGACCTTATGGTCTTCAAACAAAAACATCTTGGAGGTCCCGGGCCACAGGGAGGTTAGACTGGCCTCAACCAGAGCCAGGGCCTTTTCGGTCGTGGCCCCGGCCTGGTGGAACGCTCTCTCACAAGAGACTAGGGCCCTGCGGGACTTGACATCTTTCCGCAGGGCATGCAAGACGGAGCTGTTCCACCAGGCCTTTGGTTAGGGCGCAGCCTGACTCCCTCCTTTGGCAATCTTTACAGAACTTTAGTTTATGGTTGCCATCAATTTTGATTTTAATTATTTTTTATAATGTTTTTAGAATGTTGCACTATTTTAGTGTTGTTAGCCGCCCTGAATCTGGCTTCGGCTGGGGAGGGCGGGATATAAATAAAATTTATTATTATTATTATTATTATTATTATTATTATTATTATTATTATCTCCTCTCCGTCTCCTGCAAGCCGGTCTGCTGCTCCCCTATCCTACCCCATATCTCCCCGTCTCACCCATAGGCTGTTTACGCCCCAGCATCTCTTCCTTCTTTATTTCCCTCCTCGGAAGCAGAACTCATGGCAAAAGCTTTTCCTGAGCCGAACTAGAGCAAGATTGCCTCCGGCAAATCAACGGGAGACTCAGTCGCTCCCTTCTCTTTCTGCTGGGCCCAGGAAAATAAGCCCCGTCTGCACCGTGCGTTGAAAACGGTGCCCCACCGCTCTGAACAGCCATGGATCCCCCCAAGGAATCGTGGGAACTGTAGTCCATTAAGGGTGTTATGCGTCATCAGGAGTGCTGTGATGGTGTTTCCTGCTTGGCAGGGGGTTGGACTCCATGGCCCTTGGGGTCTCTTCCAACTCTAGGATTCTATGATTCTATGACTCACAGAGCTACAACTCCCAGAATTCCCTGGGTAGAGGGATTGGCAGTTGGACCACTCTGGAAACTGTAGCTCTGTGAGGGCATTATTATTATTATTTAAATTTGTTAGCTGTTTTATCTTGCCGAAGGCAACCCAAAGCGACTTACAATCAGCCCCACATAAATACATTAAAACCAAGAGGAAAGAGAAATACGTTAAAACCATCCCAGGCCACAGATAGTTTAAGGCCAAAGGCCTGGTTATAAAGGAAAGTTTTCAGCTGGCACTTGTAATGAAGGTGCCAAGCGAGCCTTCCTAGGTAGGGCATTCCACAAACAGGGAGCCACCACAGAAAAGGCCTGTTTTTGTGTTGCCACCCTCCAGACTGGAGGGTTCTCCTAAGGACTCTCGGCAGCCATAACAAACTACAGTTCCCAGAATCCCACAAACAGTGAAAGATTCTGACTGAACATTAGTTAGAATGTCCCGATGGCAAGAGCCGTTTGAGAATGGACCAGACTCCCTCGGGTGGTGATATACTGTATTTTTCGCTCCACAAGACGCACCAGGCCATAAGACGCACCTAGTTTTTGGAGGAGGAAAACAAGAAAAAAATATTCCGAATCTCAGAAGCCAGAACAGCAAGAGGGATCACTGCGCAGTGAAAGCAGCAATCCCTCTCGCTGTTCTGGCTTCTGGGATAGCTGCGCAGCCTGCATTCGCTCCATAAGACGCACACACATTTCCCCTTACTTTTTAGGAGGGGAAAAGTGCGTCTTATGGAGTGAAAAATACAGTATTCTCCTTCCTTGGAGGTTTCTAAGCAGAGGTTGGACGGCCATCTCTCAGGGATGCTTCTGCTGTGATTCCTGCATCCCTTCCAACTGTACGATTCTGATTTTGTTCATTTTTTACATTGTGCACCATAGAATCATAGAATCATAGAGTTGGAAGACACCACAAGGGCCATCGAGTCCAACCCCCTGCCAAGCAGGAAACACCATCAGAGCACTCCTGACATATGGTTGTCAAGCCTCTGCTGAAAGACCTCCAAAGAAGGAGACTCCACCACACTCCTTGGCAGCAAATTCCACTGTCGAACAGCTCTTACTGTCAGGAAGTTCTTCCTAATGTTTAGGTGGAATCTTCTTTCTTGTAGTTTGGATCCATTGCTCCGTGTCCGCTTCTCTGGAGCAGCAGAAAACAACCTTTCTCCCTCCTCTATGTGACATCCCTTTTATATATTTGAACATGGCTATCATATCACCCCTTAACCTCCTCTTCTCCAGGCTAAACATGCCCAGCTCCCTTAGCCGTTCCTCATAAGGCATCGTTTCCAGGCCTTGGACCATTTTGGTTGCCCTCCTCTGGACACGTTCCAGTTTGTCAGTGTCCTTCTTGAATTGTGGTGCCCAGAACTGGACACAGTACTCCAGGTGAGGTCTGACCAGAGCAGAATACAGTGGCACTATTACTTCCCTTGATCTAGATGCTATACTCCTATTGATGCAGCCCAGAATTGGACTTAGTGGTGCTTTTTGCACTTAGTGGTGCTTTTTAAAAAGCGGTTTTATAAATGCTTTCAAATAAACAATAAATGCATGTGGTTGTTTTTTGCTTGGCTTCTTCCTAACCCTAACCCTTCTGTCCCCAAGATCTTTGGATTCTTGCTGGGTTTCCGCACTCGGCGGATTCCTCCTGCTCAGCTCCCTTGCCCTGGAGTGGAACAAGAGTCAGACGTTCTCCTTACCTCCTTTAAGGTCACACGAATCTGCCCGCTTCCATCCCTGTCCAGAGATTTGAAGGCACCTGAAAGCAGAACGGATACGATACGATAATCTTTATTGTCATTGTCCCATACAGAACAACGAAATCGAAAATCTACACCAGACGTTCTGAAACCAACAAGCCTGCTATCCCAGCGATCCCAGCCTGGTTAGCCCCCTAAAAACTCTGATACCCCATAATTAAATACAATATACTCCTACACAGAGTACCTGACACTGCGTTTAGAACCAAAATCGCATTTGGATAGAAGCTGTTTCTCAGACAGCTAGTCCTAGTCTTTATAACCCTGGACCTTCTTCCAGAAGGAAGAAGCTGAAAGAGAACATTTCCGGGGTGCGCACTATCCTGCGCTATCTCTGCAGCTTTCTTAAGGCACCTGGAAGCATAGATTTGATCCAAGGTGGGAAGAGGGCACCCAATTATTCTCTCCGCAGTCTTTACAACCCTGGACAGAATTGTTTTTTCCCTTACCGTGCAGCTCCCAAACCACAAACAAAGACCCTAAGTTAATACAGTGGTACCTCTGTATACGAATGGGATCCGTTCTGGATCCCCATTCGCATCCTGAAGCGAACACAACCCGCGTCCGCGTGTGTCACGATTCACCGCTTCTGCGTATGCACGTGATGGCAATTTGAGCATCTGCGCATGCGCAAGCGGCGAAACCCAGAAGTACTTCCAGTACTTCCGGGTCGTTACGAAGCGCAATCCAAAAGCGCTCAACCTGAAGCACATTTAACCCAAGGTATGACTGTATCGTCACAGAAGGATGTGGTTCTGCACTCAAGAGCCTTGAAGTCTGGGGATCAGTGATGGCCTCAACCCAGGCCACGTCGACATTCGCACAAGCGGGTGCAAGGACTCCCGTGCAAAGGCAGCCAGCCTCAGGGTGGGGTCACCAGAGGCACCCAGCTGAAACCAGCAGCTGCTCGAGAAAGCTCTTTTTGGATAGGAAACAAGTCACCCGCAAGGGACCCCTCCGGCAGAACCCCGGCGACGGCGACTTACGAAACATGGCGTCCAGCCGCACCAAACAGCTGATGAAGTTGTCAAAGTCCATGTTCCCGTTCTCATCCGAGTATCTGCGCACGATCATGCTGTACAGCTGCTCATTCAGCCGGAAGCCTGGCAAAGAAAGGGGGGGATTGGAGGGCAGGAAAGAGGGAGGAGCTAGTCAGAGAACAGCTCTTCTATTATTATTATTATTATTATTATTATTATTATTATTATTATTATTATTAATTGTTGCTGTTGTTTATACTTTTCAAGTTTATACATTTCATTAGTTTTACCATCAATTTAACATTTCAAAGTTTTTGACTTCCTCCCCCCCCTTCTGTGGTTCCTTAAATTTATTTCTTAATACCTTCTGCATATCCAAATTCATTTAATTATCTGCTTTAAATATATACTCTTATGAAACTGCAGGTTATTACAATAATAATGTTTTTATCTGTTTGCAATTTATCTGTAAATATTCAATAAACCATTTCCATTATTTTGTAAGTTTGTTATCTTGATTTCTTATACAGTGGTGCCTCGCAAGACGAAATTAATTCGTTCTGCAAGTTTTGTCGTCTTGCGATTTTTTCCGTCTTGCGAAGCACGGTGTCGGAAAAGTTTTGGAAAAGCTTCAAAAATCACCAAAGTCTTCAAAAACCTCAAAAAAGGCTACCACACCGCGTTCTATGAGTTGCTCCTCGAAGTCAAGTCGCAACTGTATTAACGGTGTTAAGAAAAAGGAAACAAACTTGCAAGCCGTTTCCGTCTTGCGAAGCAAGCCCATAGGGAAAATCGTCTTGCGAAGCAGCTCAAAAAACAAAAAACCCTTTCGTCTAGCGAGTTTTCCGTCTTGCGAGGCATTCGTACCACTATATTCCGGTACGTTTTGCCATTTCTGAATATTCCATAAGTCAGAGAACAGGTCTTGATTCAGAGCACTCAGGGCTGATTTCCTTCAGAATGGAGAGGTTGGATCTCCTTGCAGTCCATGGGACTCTCAAGAGTCTCCTCCAGCACCAGAATTCAAAAGCATCCATTCTTCGGCGATCAGCCTTCTTTATGGTCCAGCTCTCACTTCCATACATCACTACTGGGAAAACCATGGCTTTAACTATACAGACCTTTGTTGGCAAAGTGATGTCTCTGCTTTTTAAGATGCTGTCTAGGTTTGTCATTGCTTTCCTCCCAAGAAGCAGGCGTCTTTTAATTTCGTGACTGCTGTCACCATCTGCAGTGATCATGGAGCCCAAGAAAGTCAAATCTCTCACTGCCTCCATTTCTTCCCCTTCTATTTGCCAGGAGGTGATGGGACCAGTGGCCATGATCTTCGTTTTTTTGATGTTGAGCTTCAGACCATATTTTGCGCTCTCCTCTTTCACCCTCATTAAAAGGTTCTTTAATTCCTCCTCACTTTCTGCCATCAAGGTTGTGTCATCTGCATATCTGAGGTTGTTGATATTTCTTCTGGCAATCTTAATTCCGGCTTGGGATTCAACATCCTTTTAACAAACTACAACTCCCAGATTTCTTTGGGGGAAGCCAGGACTGTTTAAAATGATGCCATAGTGCTTTAAATGTATGGTGTGGATGGCGTTTTTAGGTACCCAATCACATTTGCCCCTTACCTGCTGCCTCAAAGGCTCCTGGGAGTTCGCTGCTGCCGATGGTTCCAGATCGATCGGTATCAAATTGCTTGTAGATGCACTGATGTCCGGAAAACCCCAAAATTGGGGGTGGGGGTGGGGGGAGGAGAGCAAAAAGACAGGTAAGGCAAACAGGACAGCTAAACGGAATAATGTCCTCACCAACCCAAGACTCCACAACAGCCCAGGGTGGATAAAAATCCATGATTTCTTTAAAATAAAATTTTAAAAAATCATATTTTTTTTTAACTTAAATCAGATTTTTAAAATAAAATGGTTTTGGAGGAAAAATCTTTCTAAAGATAGTTTTCTGTTTAAGTTACATTATAGTCCAAAGGCTATTCATCAGGAAAAAGGAATTTGATTTAAGTTTTTCATGTGTGCTAAAACTCAGTCTAAGCTTTTTTTTAAAAAAAAAATCGTTTAACCACATCGGTTAACAAACATGGATACATATGCTATAATGTTATTGTTTTAGTTAAATAAATTGTTTGAATTGTTATGAAGGAAATGATTATTTTTCTCCTACCAATGTACAGCACAAAAGTTGTCCAAATTTAAACAATTTCGTAATTACCTGCCTGTGTATTTCCAATAGTATAACCAAATCAGTCATTTCTGACATAACTGTAAAAACTACTCTGAAAATTTATGATTCCAAAAATGAAACCTTCCTCTGGTTGCACATATTAAGGGGATGCCAGCAAGGCTGAACCTTTCTGTAAAACAAATGATTTAAATCAAGTCTTACTGACTAGTGATTTAAATTGTGATTTAAATCAATTTGATTTAAATCAAATCCACCCTGCCACAGCCCCATCCCCAAAAAGGAGTGTGCTAGATGCAAAAAAATAAAGAAAATTTCATTTTACCTGCCACTTCTTGACGTTGTTCCACAGGTACTTGAATTCCTCAAAGCCCAGTTTTCCGGTTGTGTCGCTCTGCACAGGGCACAGTCAAGGAGCAAAAAGCCACAAGCACCACAAAAATCACACACCCACTGTTTCATTCAGAATATTTTTTTTCTTGTTTTCCTCCTCTAAAAACTAGGTCAGCGGCTTTGTTTCAACACCCCCTTCCCCCTTTAAAAAAAAAAAAGCATGATCTGCCCCCCCCCAGGCAATTCAGCTCCAGGGACCATGCATTTGCCCCATAAGACGCACAGACATTTCCCTTACTTTTTAGGAAGAAAAAAGTGTGTCTTATGGAGCAAAAAATACGGTGTGTGTGTGTGTGTGTGTGTGTGAATGCAGAGGGAGCAAAACCCAGACCCAGATCCCTAGCTGGCAAGAGGATACGTCCATGACGGCCACCATGCTGCGACAAGTGTCAATCCCAAAGCCGTCCGTCTTCAAGTCCGGATCTGGAAAGAAAGGGGGGTGAAACCAATGGCGGAATCAGAAGCCAGAAGTGCCATCCAGCCGGGGGGGACGGGACTTGGCTGTGGGGACCTCATCCTCCACTAGCTCCAGCCAGCATGACCAATGGTTGGAGTGATAAGGGTTAATAGGTACTGAAATAATAAATATGAGGGAGATAAATTGAAATTGCAGAGTTTTGAAAAACTAAAAAACAAAGTGCGAGATTGGCCTCATTATTATCAAATAATGGAGGCATACAATTTGGACAATATGGAACTGGCGGAGATGACCGGCAGAATCCGAGACCAGGGAGAAGATTCGGTGGAAGAAATTTAAAGACTATTTACAGAAATACTGCAAAATTAATGAATGTTAGAATGATGTTGGATTGAAGTTAAGTGGTTTTCAGCAGTAATGTTATAAAGATGTGTAAAAATGGACTGTTAACAGGTGATAATCTAAAGTTATAATATATTAAGATTAAAGATTAGGATAAAAACAAAGAGGGAAAGGATTTGCTGAACCAACTAATTGAACTGGATACAAAAAAGGGAGGTGTGAGGAGGTCTGGGGAACAAGCGAATGAAAGATAAGACACGGAAAGATTGAATTGTTTTTAACTGTTTTTTACTTTGTATTTTTTCTTTTTCTTTTGTCTTTTTGTAATATTTTGAAAACTTTAATAAAAATCTTTTTTTAAAAAAATGAAATAATAAATATGAGACACTCCCATCAGTATTGGCATCCCACCGGCTCCCAATACCACCCCTATAGGCCCCATAGGAAACTAATCTTCCACTTACGCCGGGTCACCACTTTGTTGAGGATGTTCATGAGTTCCGTGGCGCTGACTTCCATGTCCTAGGACAAAAGAAAGGGAATGGTGTCGGCTGCAGCGCAAAAGGGAAAGCTCAGAGCCTAGAGAAAGTTGTTTTGTATTTCCCATGTGCATCTTACTCAGACGTAAGGCCCACCGGATGGGACGAGGGTGGCGCTGTGGGTTAAACCACAGAGCCTAGGACTTGCCAAACAGAAGGTTGGTGGTTTGAATCCCCGCGATGGGGTGAGCTCCCGTTGCTCAGTCCCTGCTCCTGCCAACCTAGCAGCTCGAAAGCAACACCAGTGCAAGTAGATAAATAGGCACCACTCCGGCGGGAAGGTAAACGGTGTTTCCGTGCGCTGCTCTGGTTCACCAGAAGCGGCTTAGTCATGCTGGCCACATGACCCAGAAGCTGTACGCCGGCTCCCTTGGCCAATAAAGCAAGATGAGCGCCGCAACTCCAGAGTCGGCCACGACTGGACCTAATGGTCAGGGGTCCCTTTACCTTTACTTTTAAGGCCCACTGAGTTCGCAGAGAAAACTGCAGCGGGCAGCAGCCTCAAAGTAGCAGTGCCGTTGTGCTGGATGCAACTCAATTCCCCGCCTAGGACCTCTTTCCCCCCTGATCAGCCAAATCCCAGAAGCAACAGGCTAGTCCTCAGTGTTTACGGAAAGGCCACCAGGGGAGGAAAACACTCACGTCTCCCGCCAGCTGCACAAAGAGCTTCCGGAACTGCCGCTGTTCTTCGCTTTCGTTGGCTTCGATGTTGGAAAAGTGGCTGCGAGGAGGCTGAGAAGAGAGAAACAGAGAAGCACGGAATTGGACGGGGGCCGTAGCTTGGAGGGAGAGAACCTGTGCAGGACGCCCGGGGTTCAGTCCGGAGGACCTGAGAAAACCCGTGCCTGAAAGCTTGAGAGCAGTGTCGGCTGGGAGGGACGGACCCAGCCTGCCCAATTCTATTCAATAAAATCCGAGGCAGTGGCCAAAATCAAACTTTTGGCAGCTTCCTGAATCGGCAGCCCAGTATCCTGCCTCCAGCGCAAGCAGCAATGAATGCTGCGCAGCAAGAAAAATGGAAGCGACAGGAAGAGTAAGAGGCCACCCGAAACAAAAAGTCTACAAGGATTGGAGAATCTTTAAAGAATATTTAGAAAACTATGGAATAATAGGAAACACCTTGGCAGAATTAGACTGATCCCTGTATTGTATAAATATAAGTTCGTAGGGAGGTAAAAAGAAATTATATAAGAAATATGCGGTGTAAAGTAACGGGTAGACAAAGTACAGTGAGATTAATTGGAAGTCAGTTTTTAATTTCTTTTCTATAAATGTTATAATTGTGTTCAATACCAGGAGTATATATGATGATAATTAAATTAATCTTCTTATGGTGTAGTGGTTGCTTTGATTTTTCTGTTATTTGTTTGGTTGGTTGTATGTTTGTTTACTTCTATGTACACCTGTTTTTCATCAATGTATTTATTTTAAATTAATAAAGATATATTTAAAAAAGAAAAAGGGGGGAAGAAAAAAAATGGAAATGAAGGACTTACCGGTGGTTCTGGGTTGTACTGCGCGGCTGCTTCACTGATGGACGGCAGGCATGGAGGAGAGAAAAGATAAACGTGATCAGCGGTGGGTCTTTCAAAGCATTGCCAAGGGAATGGATGATTCAATACAAACCCTGCTGAACTGGACTACAATTCCCATCAGCCCCAACTGAGGTTTCCCTGGGCCTCACCCAAAAGCTATATCCTGCTCTTCCAGAATTCACAGAGGAGTTCATAGAATCATAGTATCCCTGAAGGAGCATCTCCACCCCCATCATTCTGCCCGGACACTGAGGTCTAGCGCTGGGAGCCTTCGGGCGGTTCCCTCACTGCAAGAAGCCAAGTTACAGTGGTACATCTGGATGCGAACGGGATCCAGAAGCGAACGCAACCCGCGTCCGCAGGTCGCGATCTGCCACTTCTCCACATGCACGTGACGTCATTTTGACCATCTGCGCATGCGCAAGCAGCAAAACCTGGAAGTAATGCGCTCTGTTACTTCTGGGTCGCCACAGCGCGCAACCCGAAAATACTTATCCCGAAGCTACTTCAACCCGAGGTTACAGGGAACCAGGCAGAGGGCCTTCTCGGTGGTGGTGCCCGCCCTGTGGAACGCCCTCCCACCAGATGGCAAAGAGAAGAACAACTACAGTGGTGCCCCGCAAGACGAATGCCTCGCAAGACGGAAAACCCGCTAGACGAAAGGGTTTTCCGTTTCTGAGTTGCTTCGCAAAACGAATTTCCTATGGGCTTGCTTTGCAAGACGAAAATGTCTTGCGAGTTCCTGCAGGGTTTTTTTCCTTCCCCCCCCCCTTTTCCCCAAGCCGCTAAGCTGCTTATCAGCTGATCCGCTAAGCCGCTAATAGCGCTAATCCTCTAATCTGCTAATGGGCTTGCTTCGCAAGACGAAAAAACCGCAAGACGAAGAGACTCGCGGAACGGATTCTTTTCGTCTTGCGAGGCACCACTGTACCAGACTTTTAGAAGACATCTGAAGGCAGCCCTGTTTAGGGAAGCTTCTAATGTTTAACAGACCACTGTATTTTAATACTTTGTTGGAAGCCTCCCAGAGTGGCTGGGAAAACCCAGCCAGATGGGTGGGGTATAAATAATAATATATTGTTATTATTATTATTATTATTATTATTATTATTATTATTGATTCGTAGAGTTGGAAGGGACCCTGGGGTCATCTAGTCCAACCCCCTCCAATGCAGGGATCTCAGCTAAAGCATCCCTGATGGATGGCAATCCAACCTCTGCTTAAAAACCTCCAAAGAATGAGAGTCTGCAACCTCCCAAGGGAGACTGTTTGACTGTCAAATGACTCTTCCTGTCAGAAAGTTCTTCCTGATGTTGAGTCGGAGTCTCCTTTCTTGTAACTCGAAGCCATGGGTTCGAGTCCTACTGTCCAGAGCAAGAGAAAACAAGCTTGCTCCATCTTCCATGGAGGTTGGGTGGCCATTTGTCGCGTATGATCTAGGGCAGCGGTTCTCAACCTGTGGGTCCCCAGATGTTGTTGGACTACAACTCCCATCATCTCTGAGCTCTGGCTAGGGGTGATGGGAGTTGTAGTTCAAGAACATCTGGGGACCCACAGGTTGAGAAAGGCTGATCTAGGGGGTTGGACTAGATGACCCCCGAGGTACCGTTCAACTCTACAGTTCTATGATTCTCTGTGTGTGTGTCTTTATTTCATAAAGTATATACACCGCTTAATTGTTGTTGTTTTTAATATGGTTTGCAAAACTGAGAAAAAACCACAACGATACTTTAAAACAGGCATCCCCTGGAAATTATAGCTTCAGCAATTAGATTTGGTGAGCAGGAAACTAAGAAAAAAAAAATGCAAGAAAAAGTTGAAATTTAAAGTTATATTATGTTTATTTTAAGGTATAAGTAATTGACAAAAAAGTACCGGTACTTTAAATTTAGAAGTACAATATTTGAAAGATACAAGTAAGGTATGAAACAAGGTAATAATTTGCTGATATGTTTATTGAAAGGAACGCAGGGTGTGGGAGATGTGGGGAAGTTCAGTTGGCAATGTAAAAATGTTTTTGAAAGTTGGATTCTTTCTTCTTTCTTTTTTTGTTTCTTTCTTTCTCTTTTATGATCGTTATATTTCTGACTTTGTATTTGAAAAGGCAATAAAAATATTTTAAAAAAAATAAAATAAAACAGGCATCCCTAACCTTCGGCCCTCCAGAGGTTTTGGACTACAATTCCCATCATCCCTGACCGCTGGGGTCCTGTTAGCTAGGGATCATGGGAGTTGTAGTCCCAAAACATCTGGAGGGCCGCAGGTTGGGGGTGCCTGCTTTAAAACATACAAAAAGTAGAATATGAAAACAGATTAAAATTACTTCAACTTTCCGCACACCTGGGTAGACTGGTCTAAACAAGGTTTTCAGCAGGCATCAAAATGCAAGGAAGAAAAGAAAATAACGGTAACGTGTGTGTGTGTGTGTGTGTGTGTGTGTGTGTGCATTTGCACGTTTTAAACCAAGCTTCTAGCCCTCAGAGGTGTCAGAGAAAAGCTTGGAATGCTGGGAGCATTGCTTTCAGAAAGCTCAGAGCTCAGAGCTGACTTGGAATCATCACGCCTCACGCTCTGGCCTTTTTTGCATACTGGATAGTTGGAAAATTCCAGGGATGATTCAGCAGGAAAAGGAAGAAATAACACATTCCCCTGCCAGAACGACAATTCACAGAGAGGTTTAACAGTCAATCCCTCTCAGTGTTAGAATCAAAGAATCCTAGAGTTGGAAGAGACCCCAAGGGCCATAGAGTCCAACCCCCTGCCAAGCAGGAAACACCATCAGAGCACTCCTGACATATGGTTGTCAAGCCTCTGCTTAAAGACCTCCAAAGAAGGAGACTCCACCACACTCCTTGGCAGCAAATTCCACTGTCAAACAGCTCTTACTGTCAGGAAGTTCTTCCTAAGGTTTAGGTGGAATCTTCTTTCTTGTAGTTTGGATCCATTGCTCCGTGTCCGCTTCTCTGGAGCAGCAGAAAACAACCTTTCTCCCTCCTCTATGTGACATCCTTTTATATATTTGAACATGGCTATCATATCACCCCTTAACCTCCTCTTCTCCAGGCTAAACATGCCCAGCTCCCTTAGCCGTTCCTCATAAGGCATCGTTTCCAGGCCTTGGACCATTTTGGTTGCCCTCCTCTGGACACGTTCCAGTTTGTCAGTGTCCTTCTTGAACTGTGGTGCCCAGAACTGGACACAGTACTCCAGGTGAGGTCTGACCAGAGCAGAATACAGTGGCACTATTACTTCCCTTGATCTAGATGCTAGACTCCTATTGAGGCAGCCCAGAATTGCATTGGCTTTTTTAGCTGCCGCGTCACACTGTTGGCTCATGTCAAGTTTGTGGTCAACCAAGACTCCTAGATCCTTTTCACATGTACTGCTCTCAAGCCAGGTGTCCCCCATCTTGTATTTGTGCCTCTCATTTTTTTTGCCCAAGTGCAATACTTTACATTTCAGATGTACAATCTAATCGTCGAATGGCACCTTAGACCTGGGTTACGGTTGCCACAATAGAAAGTCTAGGCTCCTTCCCCTTGAAGATTATTATTATTAATTTTTAAAATACATTTTTATTGGGGTTTTTTAACATATCATTTCCAACAGTCATATAACATAACTTTTTATCTTATACAATGTTTTAGACTTCCATCAACACCTCTGATGATTTTTCGTTCTTTATCACTTATTCTGCATTTCTTAATTTCACTATTACTCTTAATTGTCATTAACTAATAATTCATAGTCTTTCTTGCAATATTTCAAATAATCCTCCTTAAAAAACTTCTTGCAGTCCTACTAGCGTAATCTGTTCATTACAATTACTTTTCAAATAGTTTGTCTATTTACTTCAGTCCTCTAAGAATCTCTGATCCCGCAGGTTTCGAATCCTTCCTGTTAATTTATCAAGTTCTGCATAGTCCATCAATCTCATCCTCCATTCCCCCCTGAGGTTTTTTATTATTATAACTATAATTATCACTATCGTCATATATTTACCACTTTATATTTTAAATAAGAAATCTCAAAGAAGTTGACAACACCTTAAAACATCAAATCAGACAATCCAGAATAAAACAAATTCAAGCTCCAAAGAAAATATCTCAGATCCTTCTCTAAGTGACATTCTGCTTTCCCTAGTTGCCAGCCTGGTATCCAGAGATCTCTGCCATTTGACCCGTGCCAGTCCCAAAACATGCCCGGCTGATTTCTGTTTCTTCTTCCCAGGGAACTCTGGGAATTGTAGCTCTGTGAGCTGAACAGGGGTCTCCTTACGACTCTCAGCGCCCTTAATGAACTACAATTCCCATCATCCTTTGGGGCGGAGGGAAGTCACGACTTTCTAAAGTGGTACCGTGATCCTTTATATATATCTGAAGGAGCGTCTCCACCCCCATCGTTCTGCCCGGACACTGAGGTCCAGCTCCGAGGGCCTTCTGGTGGTTCCCTCACTACGAGAAGCCAAGTTACAGGGAACCAGGCAGAGGGCCTTCTCGGTGGTGGCACCCGCCCTGTGGAACACCCTCCCACCAGATGTCAAAGAGAACAACAACTACCAGACTTTTAGAAGACATCTGAAGACAGCCCTGTTTAGGGAAGCTTTTAATGTTTGATGTATTACTGTATTTAATATTTGGTTGGAAGCCGCCCAGATGGGCGGGGTATAAATAATAAATTATTATTAATTATTATTATTATTATTATTATTATTATTATTATTATTATTATTATTTATTAAAGGTAAGGAGTGAGTGTGGCCCCGAACTCCTTCCTCCACTCAAGAGCCCTGGATTTTACTCCTGAGAGTCGAAACTTCAGCAGCAAAGCTGTCAGTGGTACAATGATAACTGCAATCCTCAGTATGTTTACCCTGAAAGGAGTGTCCCAAAGTTAAGTGGGACTCACTCCCTAGGTAAGCGTGTTTGGGACAGAAGCCTAACTCTTCTTCTGATAGAGAAGACTTGGGTTTCATCCCAGCTGCTGGTGGCTGTTTTGCTTGTTGACCCAGGTTTTCCTGCATGCTAGCAAACCAGTCTGACGGTAAACACGAACTAGCCGTTCAGCTACCAGCCCATCTCTGCAAACAGTGGAAGGAAAGGTCCTCAATGGCAAAATACTGTATTTTTCCGTGTATAAGACGCCCTCTATTTTGGGGAACTAAAAATTAAGAAAATGGAGGGAAATTGTCCAGAGGTGGTTTTTTTTTGGGGGGGGGGTGAATTGCCCAGAATAGTGATGTATGGAAGTGAAAGCTGGACCATAAAGAAGGCTGATCGCCGAAGAATGGATGCTTTTGAATTCTGGTGCTGGAGGAGACTCTTGAGAGTCCCATAGACTGCAAGAAGATCCAACCTCTCCATTCTGAAGGAAATCAGCCCTGAGTGCTCACTGGAAGGACAGATCCTGAAGCTGGGGCTCCAAGACTTTGGCCACCTCCTGAGAAGAGAAGACTCCCTGGAAAAGACCCTGATGTTGGGAAAGATGGAGGGCACAAGGAGAAGGGGACGACAGAGTACGAGATGGTGGGACAGTGTTCTCAAAGCTACCAGCATGAGTTTGGCCAAGCGATGGAAGACAGGAGTGCCTGGCGTGCTCTGGTCCAGGGGGTCACGAAGAGTCGGACACGACTAAACAACTAAACAACAAACAACAACATTGCCCATAGTTGTTGAACAAAAGCCACCAAACGTCTTACCGCACACCACCACCAGCTGCCAATCACCCACACAAAGACCGAAGACAATCTCAGGCTCGCGGCAGCAACCAGTCACTCGCCCCCCCCTGCCCTACCGGTGTATAAGACGACCCCAATTTTTAAACATTAATTTCACATAAAAATACAGTGGTACCCCTGGTTGCGAACGGGATCCATTCTGGAGGCCCGTTTGCAACATGAGCAGAATGCAACCCGCGTCTGCACATGCCGCGATTCGCCACTTCTGCGCATGACGTCATTTTGCGCGTCTGCGCATGCGCGAGCGGCGTAACCCGGAAGTAACCCTTTCGGTACTTCCGGGTCGCCGCAGGACGCAACCTGAAAATGCAACCTGAAGCAAAGGTAACATGAGGTATGACTGTACTCGTCTTATACACGGAAAAGTACGGTACTTCCCAGTGGAGGAGAACTTTGCTTTTCCTTAGTCCTCAGAACACACATAAACCACTTTGGCTTCCAGGACTGGGTAGAAGGAAAAGATGGAGCTGGGAGCCTGCAAAAGTCTTCAGCAACCAGATGTTTTGGACTACAACTCCCATGGCTAGGCTGGTTGGGGGCTGATGGGAGTTGTAGTCCACCTGGTTGGCGAAGAATGACCTAACCCACCTAACCCCCAACCCAAAGGACAAGGAAGTTTTGCCCAAAGCCCAGCTCCATCAGGAACCTCCTACCCCTGAACTATGCAAGCTGGTCATCGCATGAACAACTGTTGCCCGAGTTTGGTTTCTTCTTTTTCCTCTTCCCTCCTCATCCCGTTTGCCTTGTGTGCTGTCTATTGGTTTTTTTTCTAGATTGAAAGACGGCGGGCAGGAACCGTCTTAGGATCATAGAATTGTAGAGTTGGAAGAGACCACAAGAATCATCTAGCGCAACGCCCTGCAAGGCAGGAATCTTTTGCCCAATGTGGCGTTCGAACGGATAACCCTAAGATTCAGAGTCTCGTGCTCTACCGACTGAGGTATCCAATTGTCTTGTTTTGACCATCTGCATGCAAGCCACTCTGGAGCCTTTTTGCCTGAGGAGCGGGATTCAAATGCTCTAAATAAATCAATAACAAATAAATAAGGAAGGTGAGTTCTGGAGCTGTAGGCTTTTGGGACTCAGTCCAGCCTAACCTACACACAAAAGTATGCAAAGGTTTGACACTTAATATAAGCCATTTGCCTTGATATTTCTCTCTCTCTCTCTCTCTCTCTCTCTCTCACACACACACACACACACACACAAGAAATAAAGCAAGGTGACATCTGAACCACACACACACACACACCAGATCCAGGTTCCTAAACAATATTTCTTTTTTTAAAAAAAAGATATTGGGGATTGAGCTGATTTGCAAGTTACTCTTTCAGTTCTGGAAGCCTAATCCAAGATGTGTGCAATTTAGCAGCTGAGGATTATGGAGAAAATAACTTTGCACGTGCTCAGAGTTCCTCTCTTCTTTCATATCCCTCCTCATTTTTCAGGCTGGGTCTTGGCACTAAAAGCGGGTTCAGGGTCAGACCTTTGACTCAGATGAATCCATCTGCTGCCTTAGTAGCCTAAATAGTGAAATCTCCAATCACATCAGGAGGGAACTGACATATTTTGATTGGTGGGATCCAGTGAGCACTGTGGCTGGATGGATCCCAGATCGCTGGGCCATTTTCATGCTGCCTTTCAGGAATTTAAATGCACAGGGTGGCAGACAAGGTATAAGGCCATAATAATTTATACCTGCATGCCTCTGCAATAATTTGTGGTGTGTTAGACGATCGGAAGAAAAACTACCACTATCTTCCCTTTCTGGTTACCTGGTAAGCAGGCAAGTGGCTATTTACAAGCCAGTTACATGAGCAATGTAATAAACCCACTAATTGGGAGAAATTGGAAAAAAAGAAATAACACCGACAAAAAAAGAATGGCAGGATAAATTATATGACTACACTGAATTGGCCAGACTGGCAGAGGCAATTAGGAAAAATTTCAAAAAGAATGGGGGAAACATAGAGAACACCTTAAAAAGCAGTCCCCTCAAATTAATACTTGGACTTGTTTCGATTAACTTCTGCAGGATAATTTATGGTACTTAAGTTAAAAATTGTATTAAAATGGGGGGGGGAATAACAAACTAAGATGGAGACAGTTTACTAAAAATGAAAAGAGAACTGTGTAGAGAGGATGAAGGAAGTCAACTGGAAGAAAGGAAGAACAGAATTATGGTGTGTGTGTGTACTGTTCGCTATTTGCTTTGTATAAGTTTAGGTACATTGTTATGGATTATTTGTACAGTCATACCTCGGGTTACAGCCACTTCAAGTTGCGTTTTTTCGGGTTATGGACCGCCAAAATCCAGAAGTACCGGCACGAGTTACTTCCGGGTTTCGGCAGTTGCGCATACGCAGAAGCGCCGAATCGCAACCCGCACGTGCGCAGACATGGGTTGCGAATGCTGCGGGTTACGAACGTGCATCCCGCACGGATTACGTTTGCAACCCGAGCGTCCACTGTATACTTTTTTTATTTGTTTTTGGTTGTGGTTTTGCTGTTGTTTGTTTTATAAACGTTTGTGCATATGTTGTAAATAAACTCTTTTTTTTAAAACTCACCTGATGGCGCTGATGACTCCTCCCAGGATCCCCATGGCTCCGCCTCCTCCTCCTCCGCCGCCGCCTCCACCGCCTCCACTCCCCCCTCCACCACCTAAAAACCCTCCGATGACATTGCCAATGTTGATGTTCGCTCCCCCGATCTTGATGTTGCCCCCTCCGCCGCCGCCGCCACCTCCTCCTCCGCCAAGGAAGTTTTTGACAAGGAACATTTTCAGAAGTGTTTTCTCTGTTTGGAGAGAAAAGAAAGTTTGTTTAAAACACACATGCACACACACTTGCAACTGTGCAAGATGCACATTGTGGTGTTACGTAGGTCACAAGTTTTGTTACGCGTAAAACACATTTCATGTAACGCCTCGTCAGATTTTCTTAATGCTAAGAACCTTAAAATTAGAGAATTAAGCAGCAGGTCTTTATTTCCTTTGTTAAGGGGGGAGAATTACATAGTGTGTTTTTTTACCAACATAACACACCCAGCCAACCTAAGTCCTATTGTGTAACGCGAATCTGATTCTGTTCCCAACTCCTGTCCCTGAACTGTATCCATTCCAATTTGAATAAGAGCTACTATTTAACATTTTGTGCCCCAATTCCCCCCCCCCAAAAAATTTCCTCTACCCTCCCCATCCTCATTTTCTTTTGTGCCGTGTTTGTTATATAGTAATCCTGCAGGGAGATATTCTGTTGCTTTTCCTAACTCTGTACAAGCTGCTCTGAGAACCCTTTTGGTTGAAGGAGGGGTTTAAAAAAATCTGAATAAATTAAGGGGTAAATTCACACATCTCTGAGTAAGCTTCAGGGAAATAGGAAGAAACCTCCGAAGACTGACAATATAATCCTGTGCCCACAGACTGGGAGAAGGTCCCATTGAAGTCAATGGAGCCCTTTTTCTTTCTTTTCTTTTCAGACTCACATTTATAGGATTACACTGTAAAGTACAAAACTGGAATAGATTTCTGGATGTGATGTCTGGAATAGATTATGCAGCAGGGTGTCCTGCCTTTATTTAACAATTTACAGGGTGTAACACCCACCCACTCCAAAAAAAGGGGGGAGAACCCCCTATGCCTTTACTTCTTTTTAAAACTAAGCTATGACCCTTAATATTTAATGCACATCACTTGGGAAGACAGGCGAACTAATATCAGTGTACTGGAAGAAGCAAGGATCACCAGTGTTGAAGCAATGATTCTTCAACATCAACTTCGTTGGACTGGTCATGTTGTGCGGATGCCTGATGATCGTCTTCCAAAGCAACTACTCTATTCCGAACTTAAAAATGGAAAACGTAATGCTGGTGGTCAACAAAAGCGGTTTAAAGACTCTCTCAAGGCAAATCTTAAAAAATGTAGTACAAACACCAACAATTAGGAAACACTGGCCTGCGAGCGCTCCAGTTGGAGAACAACCTTTACCAAAAGTGTCATGGGCTTTGAAGACGCTGGAACTCAGGACGCAAGGGAGAAATGTGCTAAGAGGAAGGCACACTTGGCAAATCCACACCGTGATCAGCTCCCACCCGGGAACCAATGTCCCCACTGTGGAAGGACGTGTGGATCCAGAACTGGCTTCCACAGTCGCTTACGGACTTACTGTTAAAACTGTGTTTATAGAAGACAATCTTACTCAGTTACGAGGGATCGCAGAAGAAGAAGAAGAAGAAGAGGAGGAGGAGGAGGAGGAGGAGGAGGAATGGTGCATGTTGTTTAAAATGTCTCCATCCTGTTTTCTTTTCCAAAGAATACTCAAAGAGGTTAATAGTAAAAATTCTGCCTGTACCCAAATGCTAGATATCAGCCTCGTAGAAGCTAGCGTGCCTGAGAATAGTTTTTGGAGAATAGTTTTTTGCATGAAATGGGATCCCTCCTTGCAGGGGGGCGGGGGTCAAAGGCATAGCATGCAAACAAGGAAGCTGCTGGGTTGCAACAGTTAACCCCTCCCTCCACAAACTCTGTATCCAGACTATTTTAATGCGGCGCACCCCCTCCTGGAGAAACAGGAAGAACGAAAAGAGATCAGGGGATTTAGAAAAGCTTAGGGAAAGGTCTTTAGCCACGCTTGGGTAAAACAGTCTTGACTTAATGGTCACTGTTCAAAAAGGTAATCACCACTCCTTGTACTTTTCCTGCATTTAATTTCCTACTATCCTCAACAAAGCCAGATTTAGGTTTGATGAGGTCCTAAGCAACTGAAGGTAATGGGGCCCTTTCTATGTCCAGCTGTCCTTTGTCAACAACAAATTGACACTGTTTTTTGTGTTGAATAGATGCTAGATGGTCATTGATGGACCTCATAGGGATCTCAAGCCATTTGCACATGTTGCCCTGCAACCAGTCCATGCAGAATGTGGGCACCCTATATATAGAAAGGAGCAAAGCAGTGATCTTTGAGGGAGCAGCCTAGCAGGCCTGAATTGCATCATAGGAGCCTACACAACACAAAACACGGTTGTTGTATGTTGGTTTTGTTTTATTTGTTTTTTATCTTATATTTTGGAAATGTACCTCCAGGTTCTTTTTTACTTTAAATTTTATGGGGGCCCCAAGAGAGTGGGGCCCTGAGCTATAGCTTGTTTAAAGGTAAAGGGACCCCTGACCATTAGGTCCAGTCGTGGCCGACTCTGGGGTTGTGGCGCTCATCTCGCTTTATTGGCCGAGGGAGCCGGCGTACAGCTTCCGGGTCATGTGGCCAGCAGGACTGAGCCGCTTCTGGTGAAACAGAGCAGCGCATGGAAATGCCGTTTACCTTCCCGCCGGAGCGGTACCTATTTATCTACTTGCACTTTGACGTGCTTTCGAACTGCTAGGTTGGCAGGAGCTGGGACTGAGCAACGGGAGCTCACCCCGTCACGGGGATTCGAACCGCCGACATTCTGATCAGCAAGTCCTAGGCTCTGTGGTTTAACCCACAGCGCCACCTGCGTCCCTTATAGCTTGTTTAGCTTATGCATAAATCTGGCACTGGTCCTCAATCTTAACCATTCCCACCCCTTAACCATGTGCGTCTGTTTGTGCATCTGTGTTTGTGCGTGATGTCATGTGCGCATGTGTGAACCTGCAACTCAGGATAACCCTGCATTCAGGTAGAAATGGACTGGGGTCCAGGAACGTTTCTGCCATATTTGCAGGGGGTTGGACTAGATGACCCTCAGGGTTGCCCCTCCCATCTCTACAATTCTATGAAATATGCTGGTCTTACAGGTGCCATGAAACTCTTTGTTGGTTTTTGTTTTGTTTAGTTTTTGCATGTTCAACCTTTCTGGGGAAGGGTTATTTGCAAATCTCGTCACACCCGAACAGCGCTAATTCTGGTTTTAAATGTTGGTGACGAGCAGCAGAGGACACAGAGAGGGACTTTGGGCGATCGGAAATTATTCCGATCCCATATGGACAAGGAGGGGGCAGCGGGGAGAGAGGGGAGAGAATGCAATCGGCTTTTCCTGCTCTAAGCACTCCTTGTCCCCACACCCTCCCACAATACTAGATCTAAAGTAGATCTAAACAATACTATAGATCTATACTATAGATCTAAACAATACTAGACCACAGGGCCTGTAAGACAGAGTTGTTCCGCCTGGCCTTTGGCTTGGAGCCAATTTGATTCCCTCCCCCTCTTTCTTTTCTCCTGTGATGAGGCTGCATTTTAATATTTTAATGTTGTATTTTAATCTTGTTTTTAAGTTGTATTCGTTCAACTTGTTTTTATTGCTTGTTAGCCGCCCTGAGCCCGGCCTTGGCTGGGGAGGGCGGGGTATAAATAAAATTTTTTAAAAAAAATATTATTATTATTATTATAGCCTGGGAATCCTGACCTCCAGCCTCCCCAAACCTAGCGCTGATGGGAATTGTAGTCTAAAACATACAGAGGACACCATGTTTGGCCAGGTTTGTGTGTGTGTGTGTGTGTGTGTGTGTGTGCGCGCGTGCGCATTATAGTTGGATAAAACTGCTCAGACTTCCCCAGTTACTTCCTTCTCCCCAGCTAGTAAAATCCGTATTTTTCTTTCCAAACCTGCAAAGACGACCCAGATACCCCATGTTTCCTCTTTTTAATCTCATTTTCCACTAGATTGTTAACCCCCCCCCAACACACACACAAAAGGAAATCACTTAAGAGCAGGACCCTCTAAGAAACATCGCTGGCGTTTGGAGAAAGGAAGGCATTTAAGAAATGTTTTTGGAGCACCAGTTTAAAAACAGAAGCTGGAAATGTCCGTTCCAACATTCCTGTCTTGTGGGTTTTGTGTGTTTGTGTTTGTGTGTTTGGAGGAACTTTGCAGGCCTAACAGGCTGGCGTGTCTGTCGGGTGGAGTGAAACCGGATTAACTGTCCCAGGCTCCTCCTCGGAAGGAACTCTGGGGTGTGTAGTTCTGCGGGCGCTTACGGATCTGCCTGCCAGAGCCTTCTGATTCACGGCCCTGACTACAACTCCCAGGGTTCCCTGCGGTTACAAAAAAGGGTTTGATGTTTAAGATGTGGGCAGATCCATACATTCAAAGAATAGCAAATGTGCATTTAAAGCACATGACCCCCCCAAAGAATCCTGGGAACCATAGCTTCCCTTCACAAAGCTACCATTTGCGGCGCCCTGAGCCAAACTACAGATCCCAGCATTCTTGGGGTGAAGACATGCTCTTAAAATGTGCATTGAATATGCTTCAAATGTATGGATCTGCCCTTTCTTGGGGTCCTGGGCACATTTACCTGGGAGTAAGCGCCACTGTGCACAATGGACTTCCCACCCCCCAAAGAAAAAGGTTTCCTGGAAATTAAAAAATGCTTCAGAATAAAAAGATGGTTTGGCGTGTGGTTCCGCGCATGAAATATAACAAAAGTGGGAGATGGCTGCACTGAAACCTTGAGATCTGGGCCGGGATCCAGACCATTGCAGCAGAGGAAAATGCTCCAACACAAGAGGAACCCTCCCCAATTCGGAGAGCAGCTCAACACAGACAAAAGGGATCTGTTGACTTCGCTGGAGCTAATATTTTGCAATGGTTTGTGGAGGAGTTTGCAATAGTGTTGCCTAGGAGAGAGAGAGTGTGTGTACAGCCCTATGGCCAAAGGAGCTGTGAGAATCGTAGAACTGTCGATTTGGACAGGATCCCAGGGGTCATCTAGACCAACCCCGGGAAGCAGGGATCGGGGTTAAATTGGGGCAGCTTGGAGCTGGGAAAACACACACAGAGAGACATCCCTAGACAAAACTTGTGCAAAGTATTAAATCCTGTAAGGTGAAAGGATTAAGGTTACCATACGTCCCCGTTTCCCGGGGAAAGTCCCCCGATTTACAAATCAGTCCCCACACAAAATCGATCGAAGTTGAAAAGTGTCCCATGATTCATTGGGGGAAAAATCTGGTAACCTTAGAATGGATCCCTTACTAGATTATCTCGCTCCCAACATCATATGAGTCTCATTGTAGACCTCATAAAGTTCCTGGAACTTTTGAAGGGTGGTTGGGAGCCATCGTTTGTGGAGCGGCCTCGGATTGGGTCCAAGGGCAACAGATCCCAGGAACGGATACAGGACCCATAACGGAAAAAGTTGGGCGGGAAAGGAAAAGCATTCCCAGTGGAAAATCACCAAATATAGGGGGATGCAAGAAAAAAGAGGGCTATTGTATCCAACTAAAGTCTACTCAGAAAAACACCCATTAAAGTCAATGGGCCGAGGTGAGCCGTGTTCATTAATCCCAATGGGTCTACTCTGAGTAGGGTTGACAATGACGACAGCCGCTGATTATTTAGGGTGGGTGAGAGATCTCCTTCGAAGGAGAGGAGATGTGTGTGAAAAGGAAGGGCGAGTTTGCGGCGGGGGGAGTAGATTACAAAACGGAAACTAATGCTGAGAGAGAGCAGGGAGGGATCTAGTGGGCGCCGGATCGGCTCCAGGGGATTTAGAGGGAGGGGAAATGGACAGTGGGCCAAACGACAATATTTAGGGCAAGGGAGCCAGAGGAGGCCCAGTGGAGGAAGTAGATCCTCCCGGTAGTTATTAGTGGGGGGGGGACCGGGATCCACCCGTGATCTCCCCAAGGGATCCACTGCCTGGAAGGGGGGGACCCCAGTTGGTGCCCAGAACCAGCCTGCAGCTCCGGATCTGCCCCCCTCTTACCTTGTGGCCGAGGCTGCTGCGGGGTCGCTTCTGCTGCGGGCGGCTCTCCGTCGGGTCCGCTGCGGGATCTACCACGCCCGAGCGAGTCACTGCAGCGGAGCCGCCCGGAGGGCGCCGCGGGGTCCTAGCGCCCGTCCACTGGTCGGAATCCTGTGCTTGGGGGAAAGCTTCACCGGTTGAATTTCCGCCTGCCGTGCCAGAAAAAGAAGAGGGACAGAACGAGGCTGAGATCGGCGTTAAATGACTGTTTCTTTCCTTTTTTAAATAGTTTTTATTGAATTTTACAAATTTTATATTCATCACAATCACAATTTTCAACAAAATAGTATATAAATCCCTACCTTTCTTCCCCAACCTCAACGTCAGGTTCCTTAAGTATTTGCTTCTCCTGCCTCTTGTCTTTTAGTTACATTTTATAATCTTTCAATTAAATATTGTTACAGTCGTTTCAGTTTTTTTATCATCTTTCCCATATTACATCTTTTTGTTTGTTTGTTTTCTTCATTGTGTTTAGGCAAACCCTGCTAGTGAGTCCCCTTCTTTACAACAGTTCTTTAAATACAGCATAAACAGTTTTCCAATCTTTCTTAAAATCTCTATTATCTCTGGGCGGCTTCCAACAAAACACTAAAATACAATAATCTATTAAACATTAAAAGCTTCCCTGAAAGCCTTCAGATGTCTTCTAAAAGTCTGGTAGTTGTTGTTCTCTTTGACATCATATGGGAGGGCGTTCCACAGGGCAGGCGCCACCACCAAGAAGGCCCTCTGCCTGGTTCCCTGTAACTTCGCTTCTCGCAGGGAGGGAACCGCCAGAAGGCCCTCGGAGCTGGACCTCAGTGTCCGGGCAGAACGAGGGGGGTGGAGACGCTCCTTCAGGGATACTGGGCCTTTGAGGCCGTTTAGGGCTTTAAAGGTCATCACCAACACTTTGAATTGTGCCCAGAAACATACTGGGAGCCAATGTAGGTCTTTCAGGACTGGTGTTATATGGTCTCGGCGGCCGCTCCCAGTCACCCGTCTAGCTGCCGCATTCTGGATTAGTTGTAGTTTCCGGGTCACCTTCAAAGGGAGCCCCACGTAGAGCGCATTGCAGGAGTCCAAGCGAGAGATAACCAGAGCATGCACCACTCTGGCGAGACAGTCTGTGGGCAGGGAGGGTCTCATCCTGAATACCAGATGGAGCTGGTAAACAGCTGCCCTGGACACAGAATGGACCTGTGCCTCCATGGACAGCTGTGAGTCCAAAATGACTCCCAGGCTGCGCACCTGGTCCTTCAGGGGCACAGTTACCCCATTCAGGACCAGGGAGTCCTCCACACCTGCCTGTCTCCTGTCCCCCCAAAACAGTCCTTCTGTCTTGTCAGAATTCACCCTCAATCTGTTAGCCACCATCCATCCTCCAACTGCCTCCAGACACTCACTGTACCGCCACGTCTAAATAGGTACCTAATCAAAACGCTTAACAGCAATTAAAAAACCATTAGAAAGTTAAAAACAGGCGTCATTTAACCATTTTGCAAGGGCTGTGGCCTTAACTGCCTGTGGAATAGAAAAGTTTTCTGCAGGCATTGAAAAGTTGATACATAACTTGAATCTCTAGTGGCAGAGAGTTCCACCGGACTATCCCAAAGATGCCAGAGGCCCTGTTTTTATCAAATGAGTCTCAAATGACAGACTAGAAGGGTCCCAACTTTAGGTTTTTGGTCACTGGCTCTACCCCACGGTCCTTAAATCCCGCTATAAATACATCCCAGAATCACTTTCCCTTATTGCAGGGGAACTGTGCCCAGGGCCGGTTTTATGTTTGATGCGGCCCTCAGCTCCTGAAGGTAATGGGGCCCTTTATATGTCTAGCTGTCCTTTGTCCACAACAAATTGTCGCTAATAATAATAATAATAATAATAATAATAATAATAATAATAAATTATTTATACCCTGCTCTCCCCAGCCAAGACCGGGCTCAGGGTGCTAACACCAGGTATAAAAACAATTGATTAAAATACAACTTAAAAACAAGATTAAAGTACAACATTAAAATGCAGTCTCATTTCAAAGAAACTCAAATCAAAAACTTTTTGGGGATGCAAACGTCAAATCTTTTTGTGTTGAATTTATGCTATATCGTCATTTATGGACCTACTAAGTAGTTAAAGCCATTTGCACATCACAAATAGGAGCCGACACAACCCAAAACACGGTTGCTATAGGAGGCTTGTTTAGCTTATACATAAATCCGGTACTGCTGCACACATACACACCCAAATGTTGCTGGACTACAATTCCCATCATCCACGGCCATTGGCCATTCCGGATACAGCTGATGGGAGTTGGAGTCCAACAGAGTCCAGCCGGCCGAAGGGGTCTCCTAGCGGCAATCCATCCTAATTTGACCCTCCCTCCCCAAAAAAATTCCTCTCTATAAATAGGGACTGGAGCAGTTTGCGAGGGAGGAGCGGCTCGTGCTGGATACCAACAATCCGAAGCGGCTCCGAATTAATGGATTGGCATCAGGCGTTTCCCCCACTCCGACCAGAGAGAGCGAACTGTTGGTTTTACGCAGGGAGGAGCAGCCGGGTCGCTTTCTCTTCCTGCTGGCGAACTGGCTCTGCCGGTTCCTGGACTGCAGCGAGGAAGCGGAGCGTGTCCGATCCGGAGTCACGCCCCCCCCCCCGGATTCCGCTGCTCGGCCCCAGCAGCTTCTGATTCAGGCGCCAGGAATGCGCCCGTGGGTGGGTGGGGGGGTGCCCAAAGGAGGCGACGCCCTCTTGCGGGAAGAGAGGGGTGGGGTCCGGGAGCGAAGGCCTGCTTCCTTTCCAGTGACAATGCGGAGTCACTCCGGATTAAGGCCAAAGCGGTTGCCAACTCCTGGAAGCTGTACTGAAATCTATTTCCTCCACCCAGGCCCAGACCGGGGGGGGGGGCATATGGGCCACTTGGCCTGGGCCTCCAATTCTAAAGGGGGCCTCAGTCAGCTAAGAAAGCATTTTTAAATGTCAATACTTAAAATAATCCTTTTCCCTATGTATTTTTTAAAAAGCACTGTTGTTGTTTAGTCGTTTAGTCGTGTGACCCCCTGGACCAGAGCACGCCAGGCCCTCCTGTCTTCCACTGCCTCCCGCAGTTTGGTCAAACTCATGCTGGTAGCTTCGAGAACATTGTCCCACCATCTCGTCCTCTGTCGTCCCCTTCTCCTTGGGCCCTCCATCTTTCCCAACATCAGGGTCTTTTCCAGGGAGTCTTCTCTTCTCATGAGGTGGCCAAAGTCTTGGAGCCTCAGCTTCAGGATCTGTCCTTCCAGTGAGCACTCAGGGCTGGTTTCCTTCAGAATGGAGAGGTTGGATCTTCTTGCAGTCCATGGGACTCTCAAGAGTCTCCTCCAGCACCAGAATTCAAAAGCATCCATTCTTCGGCGATCAGCCTTCTTTATGGTCCAGCTCTCACTTCCATACATCACTACTGGGAAAACCATAGCTTTAGCTATACGGACCTTTGTTGGCAAGGTGATGTCTCTACTTTTTAAGATGTTGTCTAGATTTGCCATCGCCTTTCTCCCAAGGAGCAGGCGTCTTTTAATTTCGTGACTGCTGTCACCATCTGCAGTGATCATGGAGCCCAAGAAAGTAAAATCTCTCACTGCCTCCATTTCTTCCCCTTCTATTTGCCAGGAGGTGATGGGACCAGTGGCCATGATCTTCGTTTTTTTGATGTTGAGCTTGAAAGCATTTTTAAATGTAAATACTTAAAATAATCCTTTTCCCTATGTATTTTTAAAAAGCACTATTGTATATCTATAGTTTCCATTTTGTCTTAATATGCAGATACGGTTCAAGCCTTGAAATAAAATTATTTGTCAGCGTAACTTTGGTGAAAATTATTTATATATTTATTTATAAGACTTCAGTTATCTCCAGGGTAAAAAAAAAAGGAGGGGCACATTATGTACCTGGCCAAGGCCTCTGCCTGGCTCTGCAAACCCCCGCCCAGTTATTTTTTTTATTGGACTTTTGGTGCAATCGTAAATACAAAGGCAACGCGAAATGCAAAAAGTATGTCTTAAAAACATTTTTTTTAAAAAAGCAACAAAATGCAGGGCAATGCAATAAATTTAAAAAATTATAAAATTGTCCAGTAGCACCTTAGAGACCAACTAAGTTTGTTCTGGGTATAAGCGTTCTGAAGATGTGTGCATGCACATGAAAGCTTATACCCAGAACAAACTTAGTTGGTCTCTTAAGGTGCTACTGGACAATTTATTATTATTATAATTTTATTTTGACTGCATCCGACCAACACGGCTACCTACCTGAAACAGGGCGATGAGGCATCATAAGCAATTTCTGCACATGCTTGCAAAAACCCGCTTCAGATTTGAATCGGGTCAATCGTAATAAACCGATTTCCTATTATCACAGTTATTTCATTGTTATTTCTTTCTCTACTTTATCACATGATGAGACAAAGTTGTACAAGCATGTGGTAGGCCTGTCCTTTCCATGTGTTCCATTCTTCGTATGAACAATAAAACCATGCCAAATAACATAACACTGGTCATGTTTCTTTTAAATCAACTTTCAATGGAGTTTTATACATAGTTACACAAAGTTGCCAGTTTGTTTTTAAGTGGCTTATATGTTACATGGTTTCCTCAGGGCCCGGGAAGCCAGTTGGTGACCGGGTGCGGGAGGGTTTACACAAGAAGGGATTGCTCTTAATCAGACACAGGCAAACTTGGCCCTCCCGATGTTTTGGGACTACAACTCCCATCATCCCTGACCACTACTTAGCTAGGGATGATGGGAGTTGTAGTCCCAAAACAGCTGGAGGGCCGTGTTTGCCTATGCCTGCTCTTAATCAGAAGCACAATAGTCAGAACTGCCACAGTTCCATAATAACTTCTACTGGAGCTTGCTTTTTCCTCCTCCCTCCCCTTCATTTTTCCTTGTGTGTCATGTCAATCTAGAGGGGCCATCTTAAAGCTGATGTTCTGCAAGGCAGTAATACTTCTGAGTACCAGTTGTTAGAAACCCTGGGGGACAGGGAAGGGGCGGCTCTGGTGCCCGAGGGTTCCCAGAAGAATATGCTTGGCCTCCTTGAGAACACGATGGTGGACTATTATTATTA